ATAACTGCCCTAGTTTGGGCTTTGCAGAATTATGTAGGTTAAGGAAAGGCTCCTGTTTGTACAAAGGGTAGTTGTTCTTTCCCAGCTCTGGTGCTAACCCAGCCTGGGTGTTAAGAGAGCTTGGCGAGTTAGCGACGGACCCAAAATCGGGAGGTTTTGGGGGCATTTGACTTCCTCCTCTCTTCCCTAAGCATCATCTCTTCTTGGGCAGAGAAGGCAGGAGAGAGGATTTCAGCTGCACGTTCCTTTCTTCCAGGAATTTCTTTGGTTGGATTATTACAGCCCCTTGCATCCAGGAGGTGGTTCGGATGCTGGCGGAGGTGGTCTCCTTAGCTTGACAACTCTGGGGTTGGTGGGGTAAAGGTAATCCTGGAGCTGTTTGCCCGACAGCTTCTCCGTCGGGATTTCAAGTCACTTCATCACATTTCCCTTTCACAACTCTGCAGTTGAGCAACTCCGAAGCTTTTGTTTTGTTTTGTTTTATAAAACAAAAGTAAACCTGAGCATTGAATAACAACCCAAGGTCATGCCAACCCCTGCCCCTGTGATGTCATTGTTGTTTCGGGCCCGAATGCCATCGGCAGCTCCTCTTGAAGCGGTGCTGGGTATGGTTTGAGTGACTGCGTGCACCAGTTCGCAGCAGCAGGTAAATGCTTTCTGCAACAAAAGCCAGCGCTGCTGCGCGCCCGGGAGCAGCCTGGGAGTCCTCTCTCAAATCCCCCTGTTAAATGCTGCATCTTTTCTCCTCTTTTCCCTCCAGGAAAACGCATCTCTGCAAGTGCAGACATGCGATTTTTGCTGACGTAGAAACCTGTGGGATTTTCCAGTTGGGATGAGCAGCCAAAATGGAGGAGGGCGCAAGGAACCCTTCCCGGTTCGTTTAGGTGCTAACCTCCTTAGCTCTGTTCTCCAGCGCCTTTCAGGTCTGGCGTGTTGTGCTGGGCTCTGTCTCAGGGGGTGGGGAGGTGGGGAAATTGCGTGACACCGAGTGACAAAGCTCGTTGGTGGATGCACAAAGTTGTCCCATCGCCGAATCCAGCCAGTTTTGCATCTCTGCCCCGACTGGTCCATGCAAACGGCATTTCTGTGGCTCCGGCCACGCGGGTGCAGCCGGTGTTGAGCTGTTTGTGCCTAAAACGCACCGTTATTCAGCCTGCTACGATTTCACTGGGTTTGGATCCTCTGTGTAATTATGTTGAAGCGTTCCTGTTAATTCATGCAAAAATAATTAAAAGCATAAGTTTGTTCTAAAATAGCCTTCATCTACATAACTAACCAAGCAAACTGCAAGCTCTGCTGCTCCTGGAGGCTTCTGCTTTTTTTTTTTCTTTTTTTTTTTTTTTTCTGAGACTGATTTTTTCCAACCTTTTTTTCACCCCCAAATTCACCAAAGTTTCCTCAGCACCGGTGCTTGGCGAGACTCGGTTAGGTTTCGGTAAGACACAGAAAAGAGCCTTCTAGGGATGCAAATCAGGGGAAAGCTGGTGCTGCTATTTCTAATGTTGTTAACCAGAAGCAGCTTTTCTAGAAGCGCAGCTGCTTTCTTGTGGGTGCCTGTTTCAGAGGGGACCATCAAGATGTCAGACCTGGCCCCTCCTCGGCTCTGGAATGCCTTAATGTCCTTCGAAGGGTGACACGAAGCTCTGAGGTTGGGCATAGGTCTCCAGCTGGGGTTGTCCTGGCCCTGCGGCGGTGGCCGCTGCTCCGAGCATCGTCCCCAGCTGGGACTGCGGGAGCTGATGTAGGGACCCTGCTTGGGGGACTCGCAGGGAGCCGTTGTCCTCTCTGATCTTTGGGCTGTGTCTGGAGCTTTCCTCCCGCGAGCTTTTGGAGGTGCACGCTGTGTATCTTGGGACTCGTGGCCATACGAAAATTCTTCCTCACAAATGCAGCAGTCGGGCTCGGTCCTGAGTTGCGTTTTTGTAAGGCAAAAATTAAATACCTCAATCCAATTAGCTTGAAGAGGCAACCGGTGGGAGTTGGGATGAGATTGGTTCAGTGCCTGACTCCTGGCTCCGGCTGTAAAAGGTGCTCTTCATGTCTGAGATGTCCCCATCTTCGTGCAGAAGTGTCACGGCTGTCTGGTGACCACTTCGCAGTGGTGAATGATAAGAGTCAGGACTTCTCTCCGAAGACACAGCGCTTCTCGGCTGTGCTTTTAGCTTCTTGGAGGACCTGATGCACTTGTCCTCTACCGAGATGGAGGTAGTATCTGTCTTGGTGCTGGTATTGCCCTGTCTTCAGATGTCGGTGCTGCAGCTTCCAGCCGTGTTTTCCCACCTGCCTGGGTGAGGACGGAGCTCAGGATCTCCGCGTACCTTCTGCTTGGCCTTCAGTTCTGCCCTTGACCCACCAAAACCAGATGCAGGGCAGGCAAAATGTTTCTTATCTGCAAAGCAATCGTTCTTCGGAGTGACTTAACCTCGCTAGTTTTCTGAGGAGTCAGCTGCGATTTAATCAGGGCAACTGCAGCTTGGGGAAAGAGCCCATCTCGCCACGCTGGCCGCTGCTGCGGAGGTGCAGATTTCTGTCTTCTGCCCGATGTCACATCCGATGGCATTAACCTGCTGCGGGATGGGACGACTCCTGTCTGGCTGAGGCTGCCTGGGTTGTGCGTACATCACGAGCTTGTGTAAATAAAGACGGGCGAATGCGTTTGGGCCCAGCGCTGGGGGCTGAGGACAGACAATTTATAACACACGGAGCGACTGGCTGGGGAATTGGGATTTCATCCTATCCTCCAAGAGCCCTCTGGACGTGGTTCAACTTTCATTAAATTTCGAGGCAGAGCATTGAAATAACTTTTCTTGGAAGAGGAGTGTGTGCTGTCAAGAATTTTTTAATTAGAACAGAGCTTTTTTTTTTTTCTTTTTTTTTTTTAAATTTTGAGCAAGTATAGCTGTAAAGGCGTGATGCTCCCCACTTCACATGCACAAGGCACTTGTTCCTCACGCAAGTGGGGTCGAGCAGCCGTCTCTTAATGACTTAAACAGGGTTTGCATCTGAAATGACCGGCAGATGCTGATTATTTTGCTAGCATGCTCTTTGTAAACGGGGTGGCGAGACTGGGGCGATACCCCACCTCTGTGCCGTCACCTTTTGTTCCCCCGCGGGTACCCGCCGTGGCGGCCATCCGATGCCTGTCTCTTATTTCATGTTTTCTCAGTTGGTGTTTGGTAACTTCTCTGCCTCGTTTAACCTTCTCTCGTTACCAGGCTGGCACTGGCTGGGTTATCTTTAAAAACAAACGACGAGCAGGATCCGAATTCTGGGGCCGAGCGGAGGCGCCGGTGGAGCTCAACCTCCTGTAGTTTTGTGTTTTGGGGTCTCCGTCCACCGCGAGCTCCCTCGTGGTTGAGGAATGAGCTTTTCCCTCAGCGGGGGAACTAACAGGCTGTTCCCCACCCGGCTGCTTATTTTGATAAGTGTTTTTTAACAACTCGGGACTGTTGTCCCTGCATCGGATTCAGTGGATGGTTGACTTTTTTTCTTTTTAAAAACAGGCACATCACAAGAAGAAACTTGATAGTTGGGAGACCAGGCTAATGAAAATCTTTCCCAAACCCCTCTCTTCCCACTGTTCCTTCCCCTTCCAAGTCTTCTGTTGCTTTCTGATATAACTGCCATTTTACAGACCCTGCTTGGCTGTTTCTCTGTTGTCTTCTACCCATACTAGTATCCGAGCAGACCAGACAGTGCCTTTTTTTATCGCGTATCTCTGAGAGCATCCCCTTGGTGTGAATCCTGCCCGAGGAGGAGTGGCATTACTGCGTTATTCCACGGAATTCGGAGGATGAAAAAGCTGCCGTGGAGTGTATCTTTAGGACGACTCTCACGACAGGTTAGGGAAGAAGTTTGCTGCGTTTGCGACATGCTGCAGCACTGGAAGCTGCTCCTCACGCTCAAACTTAGGTCTGAACGTAAAGAATATAAAAACGTACGTCTGAACATAAGGAGCTGTCGGTGAGCAAGGGTTGCCCAGGAGGCCCAGCCAGGAGAGATGTTCATTTGATCTTCAGCCAAAAGACACATCGTGGCGGCGTGTTGTGTATCGGTGGGTGTCTTGAGTCCACGCTGCTCAACAGCAGGCGCAATTAGTTTAAAACACTCCCAGGAGCGTTGTTCAAAAAGCTGCAAAAACAACGGCAAACCAGAAAGTCCCGGCTTGGCTCTTCCCTGCGTAGCTTAAAATGCAGCAAAGGGGCCTTTACCGAAGAGGACGAGGTGTTTGCAGCTGATTTCGGAAAGGATTTGAACGCTGTGGTTGGGGAGGAGGGGATTGGGGGCTCCCTTGGTGAGCATTTAGGATACAGGTTGCTGGCGGCGGTGCGGGTTGTTACAGCATCCAGCCGTGAGCGTAGCTGGTGCTGGCTTCACGGAGGAGAAGGGCACAGCTGGTATTTACAATTCCCACCTTTGGGCCAGTTGGGCACTTCACGGTGGGACTGAAACTCTTCATTTCCACCAGGGAAGTGTTTTCTCAGGCATTTGGGTTTGTGGCTGTCGGCAGTTTCGATTGTGGCAGCCCTTCGTCCCCGTGCTGGCGGTGGCAGTGCTGCGGAGTTGGGGTGAGGTAACGTGGTTGGTAGCGTCCCTCTCCGAAATCGGATTTGAACTTTGCTTTGATTCTGGCTGTGGATGAAAATAGGGTGGGTTTTTTGTGCAAGAAATTTTGTGTCAAAGGTTAAAAAGTGGCGTTTCCAAAGATCAGGATGTTCATGCACTCAAATCTTCTTGCACGTTGCCCTTGCAGTTTTTTGAACACAGAAGACCATCCCCTGTAGGACCAGTATCCCGTAGCCACCAAAAGACTTGCTTTGACACTTCTTTGATATTTATTGTTCCAGAGGGATGACAATGGAAGGGCATCAACAGTTGCTGTCTGTCCACTTCACGGCTACGAGTGGTTGTAAACCTGTTGTCCCCTTACTTGGCTGTGCCTCTGCCAGTTTACGCAGTCATTAAGATCTAACCAGGCAAGGAAGGGAGAAAACCAACCTGCCTGCCTTCCAAGACTGGCACGTTGTTCCTTTTTTCCAGTTTCTATCTTTAATTTAATCAGGAAAAACTTCCTAAACTTCTTTAATTTTGTAATTGCACGATTTGGTGCCTACTTCAACTCCTTGAGCAATTTCTCAGCGACGTCGACGGTCGCTCGGATCTGTGCGTGAGTGACATTAGCTCAGCCTTCCCGGTGTTCCCCAGTGCTTGGCAGGACTGGTGCAGAATTCCCGGGGTTATCTCAACCTTCTTGAATGGTCACGGGATGTTTTTAACCCCGCTCCGACGTGAAGTGGAGCTGGTGCCTCGAACCCAGTGGTTTCCCAGGCTGCTGTTAAGTTGTGGTGTGGTACGATGTCCGCTTTAAATGCGGCAGATTAAATTGGTTGCCGGTCTCCCCCCGTGCTGGCACCAACTCCTTGGTTTGATAGACGCGCTTTGGCCTCGGCACCGCTCTGCGTGGAGGCGATCGCCACGCCAAGGGCTCGAAGGCTTTCTCTTGTAAGGCACCTGTTAAAAATCTCCGCAGAAGCTTTAAGGGAATCGTTACACATTCAAAGCCTTTAAGTAAAACAAGGCTAATGCCCTAACAAAGATTAAAGGAAAAAAAAAAAGCAAGCTTTTGGGTGCTCAGGGGTTAATATGTTCATCACTGAGGCATTTACAGTTTTATGGTTTCGAGTCTTAATTTTTCTGGCTCATACAACCAACTCTTGCAGGCGTGTTGAATGGCTGAATGTAGGACTGATTCTGTCCCTGATTTTTTCATATGGGGACGTTATTAGATTCGTATGGGAAATAAATGCGGTCGCATGCAGCGTGAAGTGCCTGTGATCTGTTGTAATCATGCGAAAGCGAAGTGGAAACCTGCAGCTCCTCGGCATGTACCGCGGGATCACGGGCTGGGCTGGCCGGAGCCACCGGGACACAGCTCTTGCATCGCTCCCCTCCGTCTTGGGAAGTCCTCCTCCGGGGCTGCTGCTGGTCCTGAGCATCGTCCGGGTACCTTCTGGGGGGGGAAAAAACTATCTCAGCTGCAGCCCAGGTAATCCAGCAAGCAAAGCAATACACTGTGTTTCATTTGAAAGCTTGTTGAAGTGATCCTAGGGCTTGTGTTACTTAAGTTTTCAGAATGGCATTCCTTAAAGAATCCTCCATTTTTATTTTGTCCAGCGACAGCGACGACTTCAAGGGGTTTGTCCTGTAACATTGGCTTATCTTACCTCCAACGTTAAGCTTTCGTCAGCCCATATGCCCTATTTTATTTGTATATATTGTTTTTTCTGATGTGTAATTTTTCTTGTAAAAGCATAGGTGTCAACCGAAGCTGCCCGGTTCCTGTTGACTTTTCTAACAATAGCTATATTTTTGAGGCCCGGTGCTATGACTCCACTCCTTTCTCTAAAGTTTGGGGGTTTTTTTCTCCTTTTCCTGATTCCCAGTGCAATTCTCCCACTGCATCTGATTCTGTAGTTTGAACCCCTCTTGGCCTTGTGATACCCAAGAGCTTTCCGGGGGTGCATTGAAATACAAAAACCTCAACAAGGGGAGATGGAAATATGAAATAGAAATATGTAGAAAAGGAGGTGGGGATGTCTGGATTTGAATTTGGCACGATGAGGTTGGAAACCAGGAGGGAAGTGGCAAAGGGGAAGAGGACCCGATAGTTCCGCTGTCCCGAAATGCGGGTACACAGGTACAAGGGCTGCAGGAGGGGAGTATTCCACCTTTCCGGGTGGAATACAAACCAGGAGGTGGGAAAGTACCTTGGGAGCGTGGTGTAAGGGGAGGTATTTGGGTGCGCTTGTTAGGGTGGGATGTTGGATAAATGTTGACAAAAGGAAACATCTGTTTTATCAGGGAAATATCCATCGGGGCGTACGATGATTCGAATAGCTCCTGCTCTGTGCTCCCGATGGCTCCCCCGATGTTTTAGGGGCCGGACTCCTGGCATGCCGCTGCTTTGGCCCCTTTTTAGTCTGTCAGAGGGAAGATTGTTCAGGTTTGGTTTGTTTTTTTTTGGGGTGGGGGGAGGTTTGCAGGTGGGCTGTAACCACAGCCAGGCGATTCGGTGTCACTGCATAGCTGCACCTTAGCACGAAGGGGTCGGGTCGTCTTTCCCGGTCCGTAACTCAGCCCAACGGCTTCAGGCTCTTCAAGCGAAACATCTGGGGATATTCCCCAGCTGTTTAAGAGGGGATGTTGGAAACACTAAGAAATTCCCGTGGATTTCAGAGTTCAGCGAGGGTTGCAGCATCATCCTGCCTCAGGAGTGGTCTGGCGAAGTTTCTGCCAAACCCCTGCTGAGATTTTAAAGCCGATACGGGCTGTTGCTGTAGTTACAAGCTGTGAGTGCTCTCCTCCAGAGGCTAGAAATCAGAAACATGTCAGTCTCTGAATTTTTGTCTTCCTCGCTTGTACTTTAATGGATATTCCAGGTGCATCTCTTCTGTGTCTCTACTAAGAATTTGTTTCAGCGGTGACCTGATTTCTCTTCAGAAACTTTCAGATGCTGCAGGGCTTTTCCCCTTAATTGGGGGGAGAAAATTCCTCACCCGAAGTACAGTTTAATGCAGTTTTGATACAGCTTTAGCGGAAAAAAAAAAACCCAAACCAAAACCACTTGAGATTGTACCTTCTGAAGCAAAGAACTGGATGCTCGTGTCTGGAAGATGTGGGTAGTCTTTGACCTACCTTCATTATTTCCCAAGCAGGGTGAATTAGGAAGTAATTGGTTTAAAAGCAAACACTTTATGCAGCCTGTAGTTGCGTAGACCTGTAATTCCCAGTCCAAGCTGTGTTTTCATAGCTTGCTTGTTGCTCTCTTCCCTGTAATCTCCAGCGTGGGGACGTGCTGAGCTGCTTGGCATCCCATCTCCTGCTACAGGAAAGCCTCCGGCTTCCTTAGGGGAAGTGGTTGGGTGATAATTTCCTTCCCTTGTATGCATCGCTCTCCCAGGGCCGGTACTAATATGGTTTGAAAGCTGCTCGGGTTCCCTCCCCTCTCCCTTCCGCCTCCAGAAGGAAAAGGGATCTGGCTGTAGGACTTCATACAGAATCACAGAACGGTCAGGGTTGGAAGGGACCTCTGGAGATCATCTAGTCCAACCCCCCCGCTGGAGCAGGGTCACCTACAGCAGTGGCACAGGACGGCGTCCAGGTGGGTTTGGAATGTCTCCAGAGTGGGAGACTCCACCACCTCTCTGAGCAGCCTGTGCCAGTGCCCCACTACCCTCAAAGTAAAGAAGTTCCTCCTCATGTTAAGATGGAACTTCCTATGTTCAAGTTTATGCCCATTACCCCTCGTCCTATCACTGGGCACCACTGAAAAAAGACTGCTCCCATCCCCCTGGCATCCTCCCATTAAGTATTTGTATGTATTAATAAGATCCCCCCTCAATCTTCTTTTCTCTAGACTAAAGAGCCCCAAGTCCCTAAGTCTTTCTCCATATGAGAGATGTTCCAATCCCCTAATCATCTCCGTAGCCCTTTGCTGGACCCTCTCCAGCAGTTCCCTGTCCTTCTTGAACTGGGGAGCCCAGAACTGGATGCAGTACTCCAGATG